GAATAGCTGGAAAGGGAGCAGTTTGAATGGGAGAGAGAGCGCGTGAAGTACCATAACTTTATGGAGCACTGTTTGCGGCCTGCATTCTGAAGGCGCCTCTGATGACCTGAATAGACTTACCTGTGGAGACTTCTCTGGCCCAGGACCATGCCCTGGAAATTTGGCCTCTCTGCAGCTTAAATTCTCGGAGGGGATGATGTCAGCACTCAAAGGGGGACCAGAGTCCTGACAAAGGCCCTGGATGGATTCCTGTTTGTTAAGAGAACCAGAAAAGCCTGGTTGCAAGCCAGGTGTACATTCTGGATGTACAGCCAGGGATGGGAGGCTACCTGTCTAAATATTTACAGGTTATACATCAGACTCACAAGTTATGGAATAAAATATGTTCTATACTCCTTCCCTGACAAATACCACGTTAGGTGGATGTAACTTTTGAACATATATCGAGCTATGTGTGTATGAGAGAAAGTTGGCAAAACCTCAAAGATGGCTATATATTTTATTTCCAATATCATGCTCCATTGATGAGATGGCCCTATCGGGAGGAGTTAGGGTTATAAGGAATAAAATAAAGATATATGTAATTCATCGATTATTAAAACTATTCCATGAAATTCATCTTCTTTTCAGCCAAATCCACCCCATCCTGCTGCCAGGATGTGATGCCTCACAACAGGCCCAAAAGCAATGGGAACAATCAACCATGGACTGAACCTCCAAAACTGTGATCTAAAATAAGCCTTTCTCTTTGTAAGTGAATTCTCTCTAGTCCTTATTATAATAACAGAAAGCTAACACAATACTGTACGGTTACATGTGTAGAAAATGAGAATGTATAAACCAATCTATGATGACAGAAACCCAATCAGTAGTCCCTTGGGAATGGAGAAGTAGGAAAGAGCACGAGGAGGGGTTACCGGAGGCACAAGAAAACTTTGTCGTGGGGGAGAGATGAATATGTTCACTATCTTCATTGTGATAGTGATTTCAGGTGTATACATATGTAGAAATGCTCATTTATATTCGGTGAATATACACAGTTGATTGTATAGCAACATCTCAAAGAGTGCGTATAACATTTAAGGAGTTGGGGGGGCGTGACGTTACAGGCCTGTAATCCCAGCACTCAAGAGGCTGAGGCAGGAGGATCACTGTGAGTTCCAGGCCAGCATGGGTTACATAGTGAGTTCGAGGCTACGTAGCAAGTTCTTCAACTGCATAGTAAGATGCTGTCTCAAAAAACAAAATTAAAAATTACTGTACTTACACAAGATATATTTTGTGGAAAGGGAGTTATGGGTCAGGCATGGTTGAGAACCCCAGGAGCAGGTGGACTGGGTAATTCAGAAACCTGCTCCCAGTTTCCCATCTTCAGTCTTGCCGTGGTCACCAAAACTGTTACCAGCCATTTAGGCTCATATGCTCAAGTTCATCTGCTGTCCATGTGACCAAATCAAAGGAAGCCATATATTTGGGTAAAAAGGAAAAAAACTATTCAAAACTAGGAACTGTAAAGTTGCTTTATAAGGAATATAGAAAGGAGAGGTTTAATGGGGTTTAATTGCTTCAAATCCCATGTCACCTTTACAGATGAGCAAGCGCCTTTTCTAGTAAGGAGCAGAGGACAGATAATGCAGATCTTTACACTACACTTGCTTTATCACTTCCTGGCCGTTTTCAGCTCAACCTCTTCTTTCTTGTGGAAAAAAAACCAACCTCCTGGCCCACCTGGGGCTTGCATCAGCATATTCTCACACGTCTTTGGGGAGGAAGAGAAGAGGGGGTGTTGCCACATGCTCAGCAGGAGGGGGTTTGGAGAAATTGCTTATCTCTAAAAGAAAAACCTTAAGTTTTTCCAACTTGCAGTGCCTGTTAAAATTGGGACACCTGCTTGTGATGTGTCTGGTGACCGCTAGGCGGCAGAAGCGGCCTATATGGAGAAAGTGGGGCTTGTCAAGGGGTTATCCTTCCCTTAGAATTCTGTCCTCTAGGATCGCTGCATAAACACTCTTCCTTTATGCTCAGTAGAGCAAGGATTTGGGCCATGGTCTCAGTTCCGCTTCCGTCGCATGATGGTCTCAATACCAAAACCCTTCCCAGTTTTCCCAGATCCTTTTTCAAATGATGTCCTGAGCCAGGAGTGGTGGAGCATACCTGTAATCCCAGCACTCGGGAGGCTGAGCAGGATCGCTATGAGTTTGAAGCCATCCTGGGCTACTTAGCGAGTCCAGGGCCAGGCTAAACTCCATAGTGAGACCCTTTCTTGAAAAAACAAGTCCTGTATAGATAGCAGTCATAGCTCTGGGTCTGTTATCCAAAGGCTATGTTTTTGTGTTGTTTTCATTTTGTTTGGAGACGGGATCTCACTGAGCTAAGTTCCAGCCCTTGGCTCACAGTTTCAAAAGCTTCCGTCCATGATCATCGGCTGGCTCCATAGCTGTGGGCATGAAGGGAGGCAGAACCTTAGGGTGCAGAGGTGTGGAGGAGGAAAGCTGCTGGCCTCACAGCAGCCACAACTAGAGAAAGCCAGAGGAAGGGACCAGGGACCAGATGTAGTCCCCAAGGTCATGCCCCATGCTCCATTCCCTTCGGTGAGGCTCCATCTCCTGATTCTGTCACCTTCAAATAACACCACCGCATTGCACTCTCATCAGTGGGTTCATCTAACTGGTGAGGTTAGAGCCCCGGTGACCCAGTCACTTCTGTAGGCCCAGCTCTGAGCATTGCTGCACTGAGGACGAAGCCATCTCTGAATGAGCCTTTGGGGGATACTTCATCTTCAGACTGTAACACCCAGCTACTTAAAAGACTGGGGCAGGAGGTTGGCTTAACCCGGGACTTTGAGATTAGCCTGGGCAATAACACAAAATGTTGCCTCAAGAATTTTTTTTTGGCCAGGTGTGATGGTGCACACCTGTAATGCCAGCATTTGAGAGGCTGAGGCAGGAGGATCACTGCAAGTTTGAGGCCACTGTAGGCTACCTAGTGAGCTCAAGGCCAGCCTGAACTGCATAGTGAGACCCTGTTCCAAAAAAAAATTTTTTAGTAACAATAGCATTGTGGTTCCCCCCGCCTGCCTTGCAAGCGCAAAGTCCGGAGTTCAATCCCCAGTACCAAAAAAATAAAAAAATTTAAAAAATAGAATAGCATTGCATATAGAAAAGTACGTAAGTCACACATGTAAACGTATAGCTCAATGATTTTTATAAAAATGATCATACCTAAGTATTCAGGAACCAGATCAAGAAAATAAGACATTGCCTGAACTCCACAAACCCCTCATGCCCCTTTCTAGTTACTATTGTCTTTTCCTCCCCCTTTCTCGCTCCTACCCTTCCCACCCTTCCACTCCCAGTGGCTCCCCGGCATTTGTACCATCTTTCTAGGTGATTCCAAGGCAAGGGCAGTGTTGAGGTTTGTTGCTTTTCTAACACTGGTTCTCCAACATAGCTGCATGTTAGGATCACCTGAGGAGCCCCTATCCATTGAAGTACAAGGTGGAACAAGGTAGCTAACAAGGCAGTGTCACATCTTCCACTTGCCAGCCGTGTGACCTCAAAAGAGTTCCTTCTGCCTCTGTAAGCCTCCCTGTGGAATGGGAACAGGACCACAGACCTTGCCAGAGCACCAAGCCCACCCGTAGGGTCGCCATATGGCGGCTGTTGTTGTCATTTTGTTCCAAGTAAGTAGCCCCAGGAAGACTAAAGCCTTCCCTTCTTTTGATGGAGCCCAGTGTGGGGAGGGAAGAGTGGACTCTGCCTGTGTGGATGGGAGGCAAGGATCTTGAAAGGGAGCATGGGGAGACTGCAGGGGCAGCAGCAGGAGGAACTTAGGCAGGCCAGTCCTTCTTCACCAAGAACAGAAGCTGACTGGCCACAGGTTCTGAGGCTGAGAGCAGCTTATGGAGAAAGAAAACACCTCAGCTGAGCACCTACTGTACTGCCCAGCAGCATAGCTGGAAACTGCGTTCATGCCTTTAAATCTGTGAACAGGGGAAGAGCAGACTCATCCTTCCTTTTTCTTTCTTTCTTTTTTTTTTAGTACTGGGGTTTGAACCCAGGGCCTAGCTCATGCTAGGCATGCACTTTACCACTATTTTTTTTTTGGTACTGGGGATCGAATTCAGGTCCTTGTGCCTGCAAGGCGGGGCTCCAGAAACCCAGCTCTTTTTATTTTTATTTTGAGACAAGGTCTCACTATGTTGCCCTGGCTGGGCTCTAACTTTTGGTCCTCTGTCCTCAGCCCCAGCCCCCTGAATAGCTAGGATTCCAGGGGTGCATTCCTGCCTGCCTCAGAGTAGACTCATCCCGTTTAGCATTGGTGGCCATAACCCCAGCTTTACTCACAGGCCCTGGGGGCAGCATGAGCCTGGCCTGCTCTGGGGCAGAGTGCACACCTACCACACAAGGATTCTTTCTTCACTCTATGCTCTTCCCTGTAGTTTTCCCAAAATTGAAAAACAGGTTTTTAGGCTATTAATTATTTTATTATTTATTGTACTTGTTTCAAGGTATAATATTGATTGTAGAACACATGGAAAATACAATGATGAACGAATCAGTATCTCAGCCTCACCCAACAGAGATGACCACTGTCAGTGCTTCTGCATTTATTGGTATCTGTGAGCCTGTGTACGTGTGTGTGTGTGTGTGTGTGTGTGTGTGTGTGTGTGTTTAGAAATTTATGAAAAAGGAGTCACATAGTGCACTCTTAGATAATCTGCTTTTCTTTCCATTATAGTATTAGACAGTGGCCATTTGTCTGTCACTGAACATTCATCTACAACAGTGGCTCTGCCTTAGAATCTCCCAGGAAGCTTTAAAAATACTGATGCCTGGGTCCACACTAGAGTCAAATTTAATTGATCTTGGCTGGGGCTGTGGTTGGGGATTTTGAAGAAGGTTCCTAGGCAATTGCGTGGTGCAGCTAAACTTGACAGCTACCTTGCTATCACATGCCATTTGCTGCAGGGAAACACTGTAACTGGATCAATTCTCTTTAGGGAATTTAGGTTTCTTCCAATGTTTATATTATTACAAAACAAGAGGTAGCACCTTTTTCTGTAAAGGCTAGGTAGTACTGTATATATTTTAGCCTTTACAAGCCATAAGATCTCTGCCACAAATGTTTAATTCATTCACTGTGCCACAAAAGCAGACAATGCATAAATGAGTAAGTCTGGCTGGGCTGCAATAAAACTATTCGCAACAATCAGTGGCAGCCAGAACTAGCTGACCCTTGTTATAGACAATGTGAAGTGAATCTTCCTTGAAGGCAAACCTCCTAGTATGAAATGAATGAATTTTTGTAACAGTTTTATACTGTTTATTTTTTAAAGTAGGATTCTTAGGGCTGGGGATTTAGCTCAGTGGCTCTGGTGTCTGCCTCGCCAGCACAAGGACCCGAGTTCGATCCCTGGTACCAAAAAAAAAAGTAGGATTCTTCATCAAGGTAATCATGTATTTCCTGTTTACTTGCTTCATACTTACTTGCAAAATGGTCCATGATATTTAATTTATTATAATGGGGGTGGCGCTGCAGTGCTATGGATCCAATGCAGCACTTCAGGCGTGCTAGGCAAGTGGTGTGCTACTGAGCTATCCTCCCAGCCCCTCTAGGAGAGGGATATAATTCATAGGTGGTAGGAAGGGGGTTATCAAATTTGCTTCCTGTCCCGTTCCATCATGCATCTAGAATCAGAGGCGATGGCTAGAATCTTACATGCTAGCACCCACTTTAACCACAAGCTACTTCTTTACTTTCAACCTCTCTGATCCACATCAGATTTAGGGGAATGATGTGGGCAGTGTGGGGAGAAGTAAGAAATAATTTCCTGTCCTGAATACACAGCCTGGGTGTCTCAAATTGTGTCTCCCCAGGTTCCTGGAATTTGATCTCTGTCAGTTGCTCTCATGTGCACCAAAGTATGCTGCCCAGCACCCGTAGACTGCTCTCAGAAACTTCCAGCATCAGCATCCTGCCAGAGAGTAGCAGGAGAGACAGCAGGAGGACCTCTTGTCTTGCACCTTCACCACCAATGTAAGCCAGGCACAGCAGGGTGGGCGGGCACTTGACAGTGCTTCCGGCTGAGCTCAGGTTGCTGAGTTTCCTCTTCTTAGGGGTGTGTGTATGTGGCAGACCGATGAGACCTACTGGAAATGAAAGGGGACTCTGTGCATTGCCAGTGAGACTAGACCCTAGACAAGGAGTTTCTTTTTCCATCGCAAAAATCCAAACCCAAACAGGAAGCAGTTACACTGAGGGAAAGGGCAGAGGTGACAATAATCTGGTTCGACTGTCTGATGCAGAGAAGTGGAAGTTCACATGGAGGAAATGTTTTGTGTTCACAGAAAGATGGATGATTAGAACTTAAATCATTTGTACAGAAAGCAGATTTTCGGGTCGGGGATTTAGCTCAGTGGCAAATCGTCTGCCTTGCAAGCACAAGGTCCTGAGTTAGATCCCTGGTTCCACAAAAAGAAGCAAGCAAGCAAGCAGATTTTCCAAGCTAACTCTGGGCAGTTGCCATTACACTGTGTATGTTCATGGCTCTAGTATCATATGCACTAAAATGTGTCTGTCTCTGCCCGGGCAGCAATCTGCAGGATTTGTTAAGCGGTTTAGTGTTGGATGGCCTGCTGCACTTGAGTCTGTTTGAAGATGGGCTGGTATTTGCGTGTTTGATTTTTTTAGACCCCATTGTCCTTGCCCTTTAGTGTCGACAGGGTCATTCCTTGAACATGGCTGTAGAATATACTGGCCTTTTTCTGTGTTCTGTGTAATATGTTCTATCAAAAGTATTGGTTTGGAGGTTTCCAGATTTTTTTCTTTCCAAGGAGTTTCTTAAAAAGGTGTCTGCTTTTTGTTTTTGTTTGTTGTTGTTTTTTGAGACAGGGTCTCACTATGTAGTTCTGGCTGGCCTTGAACTCCCAGCAGTCCTCTTGCTTCAGCCTCCCAAGGGCTGAGATTACAAGCATATGCCACCATGCCCAGCAATAAGAGACATCAGCTTTCTTAAGTCTGTTATCAGAATTCACATTATTTTTCCACTTTGCAAATTTTTAACTCCTGTTGCATCAAAATGCACTGCAATAAAATCTTCTGGATATGTCAACAGGTGCCTACATAGTTTTTATAACAGAGTAAACAGTCAATCACAATGATTAACAATTCAGAATTTTAGTGTACTATAAAATACACTAAAACATGTTGCATGGGTTTTTGGTAATTATGTTATTAGTTACATTATGCCTGTAATCCCAGTACTGTAGGAGGCTAAAACAAGAGGATAGGAAATATGAGTTCAGTGACTTAGCAAGACCCTGTTTTAGATTGGGAAATCCCTCAGTGGTGCCACACAGGCCTTGCAAGCACAAGGTCCTAAAAAGAACTGATTCAAACAATTAAAAAGCTTTTTTTAAAGGGCTAGGACATAGCTCTGCGTGAAAGCCTTAATTTCATACTCCAGTATGTTGTTGCATTTTTTTTAAGGCCAAGAATTGTTTCCCATCAGTCACATGTGATCCTTAATAAACAATGACTTGCCAAATGAAATCTTATTTATTTATTTATTTATTTTTGAGACAGTCTCACTACACAGTTCAGGCCCTGAACTCACTACATAGCCCAGACTGGCCTTGAACTTGTGGCAATCCTCCTGCCTCCTGAGTGCTGGGACTACATGTTTTCACCACCACACCCAGCTAAGCCTGGTCTTTCTGATTCTTAGTCTTGATCACAGGGATAAATTATGGATAAAATTTGAGTAGTCTTTTCTTGTTTTTGCAGTGCTGAGCAGTGCAACCTAGGGCCTCTTGTGCGTTAGGCAAATGTTCAACCACTGAGGTACCTCCCCATCTCACTTGCTGTACCTGCTTTGCTCTCAGGTACTGTAAACTCCCCCTTGCTCCATGCCAAGCCCTCTTGACTGCATCCCACCCTTCCTCCTTCTGTCCTGGCCTTATCCACCATCCACAACTCTTACCTCCTCGGCCTGGGTAAATTTACTAGGAGCCAGTGATTTTACAGGCTCTCATTTAATCCCTTCCGCCCTTTGAGGAAGGTCCTACTATTATCCCTCGGTTTACAGATAGATAAACAAGGAATGAGGTCATTTACCTGAGGTCACAGGCAAAGTAGAGTTCAAGGCTGAGCCTGCCCAACTACTGAGTCGAAGTGAAGAGTGACTCTCCCACCTCTGCATGCCTGAGACCCTCCGATCTACATCACACTGACAATCCAGTTGTCTACTGTACATCTCTATGTCCTGTGGAGCCAGCAGGGGTCTCTGTTCCTCACTGGCCTTCTCCCACCTGGCAGTGCTTCTTATCATTCCAAACTCCCAATGTTGCTATTTTGGCCACTGTCACTTCTTAGTGGACTGCTATGAGGACCCCCAGTTCCTCTCCTTGTGCAAGCCGAGCTTCCTCCAATTCACTTGCTAGAAAAGAGGCTGCCAACCCTTCCACTGTGCATACCCATCAATAAAAATTGCTCATCCTGCCAGGCTGGTGCTGCACACCTGAAATCCCAGAATTCTGGGAGGCTGAGGCAGAAGGGTCACAAGTTCAAGCCCAGCCTGGTCAATTTAATGACTTAGTAAGAACTTGTCTCAAAAATTTAAAAGGCCCTGGGTTCAGTCCCCAGAACTGGGGGAAAAAAAAACCCCAAAAACAAAAAAACTCACCTCACATTCTCAATACAAGGATATTTTCTTCAAAATAAAATAAGCAAACACTGACATCAGCTGACACAGCACAGGGTACTTAAGCAAAGCTCATCACTAAAGAGCATAGAAGGAAATCTGTTTTAAGAGCCTTCATAGTTTAAAAAAAGAAACAAGCCGTCTTATCTATATAAGTACCGACTCCCCATGATGACTATAAAATGCCTGTATTGCAAATATATACTTTAAAAAATGCCATCATAGTGTTTTCAACATTTTTGGGGTTTTGTTTGTTTGCTTTTTGAGACAGGGTCTCACTATGTAGTTAAGACTTACCTGGAACTCACTATGTAGCCCAGGCTGGTCTCAAACACACAGTTCCTCCTGCCTTCTCACACTATGTAGTTAAGACTTACCTGGAACTCACTATGTAGCCCAGGCTGGTCTCAAACTCACAGTGATCCTCCTGCCTCAGCGTCCCGAGTGCTGGGATTACAGCTGTGCGCCACCAAGTCAAGCTTCAACTTTTTTTTTTTGAAATGACGTCTTGCTATGTTGCCCAGGCTGGTCTCAAACCACTAGGCTCACAAAATCCTCCTGCCTTCATCTCCTGAGTAGCAGGGACTGGAAGTGTGAATCACTGTGCCCACTCATTTTCAAGTTCTTGTTCAATCTGATCAGCCAGACCATTGCTGTAGCTCTCAAGCACCACTAAGCCGCCAATGTAGGCTCCTCTGTAGTCTTCTAATCTGTGGTGCCTGTTTTATCACTGGTATCTTCAACTCTTGGTCTCACAGCAGGAAAGTTCTTGTGTTTTTTAGTTTAGTCACTGGATAAAATGAGTTGTCCAACCCTTTATTTATTTTACTTTTTGGTACCGGGCATCAAACTCAGGATCTTGCACTTTCGAGGCAGGTGCAGTGCCACTGAGCTAAATCCCTGTGTCTGTCCAACCCTTTAAGTTCAGTCAAACCCCACACGTCTCTAAATGCTGGGGCCGGCAGTTAATCTAGCTCTCTGGTCAGACTCAAGATGGTTCACACTTGCCCTTTAGTCTCAAAGACAAAAGGTGCACTTACGTTCAGACACAAATAAGCAGTCTGCCCTGATTCAAATGCTTGAAAAGCTGATTCTGAGCACCACCTGGGCCATGGGAATAGACACAGGGAAAGGCAGGGCCTCGCTATGACTTCATATTTATATGGGCAGTTCTTTCACAGGCGAAAAATTAAAATTACTTGGACTAGTCCAGTGAAGAGGTAATAAGGTGTTTATTAAAAACTCTGTTTCACCCAGAGACAGTTAAAATTTATAATTTAAAACCCAGCCCACTACAAAAGGGGGGAGGGATAAAAACTGTGCAACATTGACAAAGGACTGAGACAGACAAGGCCCAGGAGGGGCAGCCCCAAGGCAGGTCTCTCCTCTCCAGAAGCCGGGAGCAGCAGCAGAGTGGAGCCCTGGGGTGCACAGCTACTGGCCTGGAACAGTTCATGGGCCTCTCCAGTTCGAGTGAACCCGGAGGAAGGGCCCTCAGTAGTGTTCACTGCACAGCCTGGAGGTGCATCCTGCTCACTTAGCTCACTCTGTTATGTGAGGTCGAGAGGGGACCGCAACTCAGGACCGTCCTGGGTAGGATGGAACACCTCAGTCACTTGCCCTGCACACAGACAGGCTGGTTTCCAGGACATCTGGGACATGTGTCAGGGCTGGGATGGGCCCAAGGCCTGTAGGGCCCTGGGGAGGGGATGCCAGGGCTCTACCAGCTGCCCTCCCAGGGCAGCAAGCCCGCCCCAGCTGTGCCGAATCCTACCTCCACCATTGCTGAGGCCACATCCCACGGCCACCTGGTGAGAACGCCAGTTGCCATAGCTCCTGTGGTTGCAAAGACAGGTGGGGAGTCACAGCCCACAGGGACCCTCACCCTCAGTGCTCTCCAGACCCATCAGCCCTCAGTGACTTACCCCCGGTTCCCCTCCAGTGTGCTCTGGATCTCCTTCAGGACTCCTGCAGGCAGCAGAGGCCTGGTGAGGTGAGCAGGGGCCAGGCCAGCCACCAGCCCTCCTCTCCCTTTTATCAGTGAGGCTCGGCCTCCCATCTCCCCTCTCGGGGTTCTACCCTGGCCTTGTGAGCCCCGCCCCACCAGCACATCCCTCCCTGCCCTGACGCCAACTTCACCAAGTCCCACCCTGACTCACGCTCATCATTGAGCAGTGCATGCTCCATCACTGGGCCGGGCTTCTTCTCTGGAAGGCAGAGGCCAGGTCAGGTGGGCCCCCTGGCTATGCGCAGGGCTATTTCTACCCGCAAACAGTCCCTGTTCAGCGGGGGCCCCTTCCCTCCCTTCCAAGTGTGGCCGGGCAGTGGCTCTGAGAGGCCTATCTCACCTTCTCCATCACTCTGGCTTCCCGAACTCCTGTGGGGAAAAGGGATAGGGAGGCCTGGGGGATGGGGAGGTCTAGTGTCCCAGCCTACCCTGAGCAGGGAGCCGGGCGTGCCCTGAACTCTCAAGGACTCTCGGGGTGCAGGGGGTGCTGAGGGGCAGGGGCCTCGGCCAGTCAGCAGCAGCACTTAGAGTGTCTCACCTCACCGAGGGCAGAGGGGGAGAGGCTGTGGAAAGGCCTCCTATTCTCTACCTACCTGGCTCTGCCCACAGCCTTCTCAGGACCCATGCTGTTGCCATTGCTTGGGCGACTGTGGTTCCTGGTTTTGGCTGAATCCACAAGACACCGTGGCTCTACCAGCCACTTGGTGGAAAGAGAAAAGCGCTCGAACTCTGAGGGTGAAATCAGGTAGAAACCTGGGGGCAGAGGAGAAGCCCTGCAGGTAAGGCTGTGGCTGTGGATGGGGCTTCTCTCCTAGGAGAACTAGGGGTGCAGCCCCCACCCCAAGGCCAGCCTGGCAGTGGCTGCCACACCCTGAGCCCCTCACGCACCCGGACCTGCTCACCAATGCCCAAGGACAAGCTGCACACCTTGGCCATATTTGGTGAAGACGCAGGAGGCGATGCCACTGACGTCCTCCCGACGAATGCAGCTGTATCGAACCTGGGGCTTGAGCAGGGGCAGCGAGACCACCTGGATGTCGCCCAGGTTGGTGAGAACTGCCAGGTGGTGCTCCCCGTAGTCTTCAGCCCGACAGCTGCCGAAGTGGGCCACGCCAACCCGCCTCACCCGTGAGCCCTCCAGGGCCGTGAGCTTCAGCTTGAGCTTGGCACTCACCTTGGGCAGTGTGAACACCTGAGGGCACAGGGTGGCCGATGATGCCACCACCGCCACCACCCTGCCCTCCGGAGCCCTACTGGGTCTCAGCACCACTCAGACACTACGCTTGGGCTGGGAGGACTTGAGGCCACTGACTTCCACATCTGGATATTCTGTCTCTTCCACTTTCTCAGCTTCTGCCTCAGTGTCCCTACCTCTGACCCTGAGGCTCAGGGACTCAGCACAAGACTGCTCCACTTCTTTCCTGCGCCTCTGTAGCCCTTCTGACACTGAGTCTCAGCCATCATCGTTTGTGCCCAGGGGCCAAACTCAGCGAGTACCCCAGAACCCTGCTACCATCCATGTGACACCTTGAATTGCTCCTCTGACACCACAAGCAGCTGGTGGCTTCCCTGCATGTCTGGGCTCTTCGACAGGTCATGGGCCACTTCCAGGGGCTCAGGAAGGGGTACACTGCGTCCGTCGAGCACCAGGATGCCAACCACAGGTGCTCTGTGCATCAGCTGGATCTCCTTGGCTACAGAAAGACAGCAGGAGCAGGGCCGTGGCAGGCAGCCAGGCTGGAGACACCATCCCGCTTCAGCCCAGGCAGGTCAAGCACCCTCTGCCCACCCAATCCAGCACTTACCCTGCTCTGCCCACACCAGCTCATCCATTCTCCGCTCAGCAGGGGGCACACGCAGGGAGAAGGCGTAGACGGTGCCTCCATTGGTGCCAGCCCACAGTGAGGGGCAGTGGCGGGAGCCTGCCAAGAGGCAAAGGCTTGGATATCTAATTTCTTTGGCTCTGGGAACCAGGTGGGGTTGGACAGCCTGGGTTCCCATCCCAGCCGTGCCACTCTAAAGCCAAGTCAACAAACCCAAGTCTTTAATCCTAAGTTTGTGCCTCTCTTAAATGGACATGCTATGGGCCCTGTCCACTTCCTGGGAAGGGCGGGAAAACTCTGACAGCTACACAGGGTCACAAAGACAGATGATTCTCAATCTAGGACAGCTCACCATACAACAGTGGACACACCCACCCAACAGGGGAGAAATGGCTGGGAAGGGGCACTTCCACACGTGTGCAGGCACCATGTCATCCCCAATCCTCATGGCCACTCTGGGAGGAAGATACCATCCTCCCATTTCCCAGAGGGGGAAGCTGGGGCTCAGAAAGATGAAGTGATGTGTCTAAGGCTGTGTTTCCAGACAGTAACAGCGTGGCTATGAAGCCAGACAGGAGAAGGACAGAGGCACACGGGGGCTCTGATCTGCCTCTGCTCACAGGGAGAAGCCTTCTAGGGTTCTAGGCGGCCAGCAGCTCCCATGTGCCCTCAGGCAGGGATGCCACACACCAGAGGTGTCCATTACGCCCCTCAACCTCAGCGTGGCTACTCACTGTCCCTCAGGTAGGTGTCAGCGAAGTAGAGGGTCCGGACAAAGCCCGTGAAGGAGTCCTCAGCTGAGCGGGCCTCAATCTTGCGCTGCACGGGCGCCAGCTCCATGTTCTGCAGGCCTGTCCGCTCTGCCTTGGTGCCTGCTGTCTGCATCTGAGGTGAGTTGGGCTGGGCCTAAGGGGAGGTTCAGGCCGCCCCTCCCCAAGGGTATCCTTCCAGGAAAGGCTGGCCTGGGTTCAAGAGGACCATGTCCAAGTGGGAGGAGAGCCCTGGTGGGAAGCCTGCCTGCCCTCCCACAGGAAGCAGCAGAAAAACAAGGAGAAAAACACTAGCATTTCCTGGGGAAGCACCTCTAAGGTAAGTGTTACAGCTGTTATCTTTCGTGCTTAGGGAAATAGAGACAAAAAAACAGTGATGTCTCAAAGGTCACCCAGTGGGTGCTGAGCTATTCAGAGCCCATACTTGTCGGCCAGGAGCCCAGGGAGAGAAGTGTGTGGTCCTGCCATGGCTGCGTTAGGCGTGGCCTGGGCTGAAGTCCAGCCTCTGGCCTCACCTCTCCTGGGGCACCGGCTGGCCGGCGCTTCCGGCTGGACACTCTACTGCGGCGCATCCGGCGGAAGGACTGACGCAGGGACTTCTTGAGGGACTTCACGCGGGACAGCGGGCCCTCTAAGGCTAGTTGGTCACTGGGGTGCAGGGTGCACCTGGAGGGACAGCAGCCCATTAGTGCCGCCCATTAGTGTTGGGCTGAGGGGTCCTCAAAAGCCCCAGCCTCACACCCTGGCCCCGGTTATCTTGCTCACTTAACAAAGACCTGCCGCCTCTGCTGGTGATCAAAGAGGCCAAAACCGTGGCTGGTGCCAAACGCCACAAGCCTCCACTCAGAGTGCAGAGCCAAGGAGGTGACCACAGCCGGGGGCTGGCACTGCACCAACACGAAGGGCTGGAAACCGGGCTCAAAGTGTACAGGCCCTGAGCGGGCAGCCAGGCGTTCGTGGCCCTTCCAGCGGTAGCCTTCTTGGTCCTGCAGCAGGTCGACTTCCACCTGTTCCACAGCGTGCTCTGCTGCCTCGTCATTTAGCTCCAGCACCAGCACCTGAGGGGCAGGGGGCAGGAGGCTCAGCAAACCTCAGACATTGAGATCTGAGACCCAAGCCAAGGCCAGGACCCAAGCAAAGAATTTGTTCTGAATTCTGGAGGAGAAACAACCATCATGGGAGCCGCCCTCTGCTGGAATCAACCGGCATCCATCTGCTGGGAAGAGCAGAGTGATAGGTCCCCAATGCTGAGAAGGAAGCTCCTGGGCCTGGATGCTGCCTCCAAATCACCCAACCACTGTCCTCCCGGCCCCCACCCTGCCCAGCCTGCTACCTGTCCTGCCGTGCCTGCTACAGCCAGGTAGCCGCTGTACTTGCAGAGGAAGATCTTCTGGATGCCCAGCCGGGGATCGTCACTGTAGGGGTCAAAGGAGCCCACCTGACAAAGGAGAGGGGCGCTATGAGTGGTTCCGAGCCGACTCCAGACTGTCCACACCCCACACCCCACCCTGTTCCCTGGCTTCTGGCCTCACCTTGCGCAGCGGGGGCCACTCCTCCTCGCCCTGGGCATTGAGGCTCTCGCTGGCGTCCGTGTCCGTGAGGAACACCCGCACCGTGCTGAGTCTGTACAGCAGCCGCAAGCAGACACCCGAGGCATCCCAGAACCGTACCGTGCCATCCTCGTGCCTGTGGGTACAGCCCACCGACCCCCATCAGAGCACTACCAGCCGGGTACCCAGGGGACTGGAGACACGCCTCAGGGCTCCGTCCCAACCCCATGTCCACCTGGGAAGAGGAAGAGTAGTATCAAAGTCACCTACCCTGTAAGCAGCAGGTCCCTCTGGGGTGGAGGTGGGGCCAGGGTGGTGCCACCATCAATGGGCCACTTCTGGAGAAAGAGACAAGAAGTCTGGGAGAGCCTGGCTCTGTGGTAGGCTGGGGCTGGGGCTGGGGCTGGACCTACCATGGTGGAGAAGTGTGCGTTCTGCCGGCTGCCCGTGGCAATGACACGTTCCCACAGCTTCAGGGGGATGTTGGACACGTGGTGGGAGCAGGTGATGGCCGAGCAGTGCAGGGAAGCCAGGTAGGGTGGCTGGACTTGGGGCCAGCCTGCCGCCTGCAGGTCAATCACCACTAGCTCCTCCTCAGCCAGCACCACCAGGGCGTAGGGGTCATCGAAAGCTGGGACACAGGCCAAGGGTCAGGCCCAGGAGGAGGCAGTTTGCCCCAGTCTGGCCCTGAAGAATCAGAGCTCCAAGGTGGGAGCCTGGGAATCTGCACCCTCAGACAGCCCCATGCTCAGCTACTTAAGCAGAAGCTTTCACCTGGAATTTGGGCTCCAGGCAGGGTCAGAAGGCAGAGTCCTCACCAGGAAATGGCTCACTGAGTCCCCTGACCGTCTTCCCTGGTTCCTATTCTCTGCACCCAGCCCTGGCTGGGATGTGCCTACTGATGCTGTCCCTGCAGGCTGAGCACCCTGCTTGCTGCACTCAGGCCTAGCCATGGTCAGCATTTGATAAGAGATGAGCTGGAACCCGGCTTCCAGTGCCCCTTCTCTCCAGGCCAGCCCATCTCACCAGCTCCAACCTGGCTGGGGACCTGGGCCCTCATCCACCAGTCCAGGGAAGAGACCCAGCTGACACTTCTTGGGAGAGAAAGAGACTGAACCCAGGGCCTCCATACTGAGCTACATTCCCAGTCTGATTGACTGACTGAGACAGGGTCTGGCTAAATTGTTAAACTACTCAGGCTAGGCTAAAATTGTGATCCTCCTGTCTCAGCCTTCCTGGGGGGGGGTGGCATGTGCCAGCCTTGCCCTCTCAGTTCCTTACAGTGTCCAAGAGTCTCCATGACCACCTTGTCTAAATCAGCACTGACCCAGGCCCCACCTCTCTCCTCACCTGGCCTTGTTTTTATTTTCTGCCCCTGACGTTCAACTGTTCACTCTGTCTCTCTGCGCTTGAGTAAGTCTCACCAGAGCAGGGGCTTTGTCTGCTCCAGGGACAGGACCTGCATGTAGTATCTGCTCACTAAACAGGAAAGTCCACCCAGCACAGATGCAAGGTAGAATGACACGGGAAATTCAGGCTGCCCATACCTTGCCTGAAGGGAGCATCCTTCCTTACACACCTGTATCCTGACCTGCTGGAACTATGAGAAAGTTGGGGACACAAATGGATGATCACAGGAGGGTGGCCCACCCTAGAGAATGTCATTGGTTTTATTTTTATGGTACTGAGGATTGAACCCACAGCCTTGGCACTGAGTTATATCCCCGAAGCAGGGTCTTGCTAAGTTGCAGTTACACAAGCTGGATCTGAACTTTTGACTCTCATGCCCGCCTCCCATTGTTTTTAAAAAATTTCTATATTATTTTTTTCCAGTGTTTTAGAATATATATCTCAGGGCTGGGGATTTAGCTCAGTGGTTCCGGCACCTGCCTTGCGAGCACAAGGACTTGAATTCGATCCCCGGTACCAAAAACACACACACAGACACACACACACAAAAAATATATAGCTCAGCAAGTGGGAAGGGTAGAGGAAAGTAAAGAAGGGAAAAGAAAAAAATATGAGAAAAGGAAAAAATGGAAACAGTAAATAGGGAAGGGTGGGAGGTGATGGGAGGGCAGGGGTATGGGGAAAAAATAAGAACCAAGATATATCATGTAAAGGTACAAGATCCTAATGATGAATGTAACTGTACTGTAAACCTAAAAAGTACTGATAAACTCAATGAAAAGAAATAATAAGTATACAAACATACATACATATATCTATATATATGTCAGTGAGTTTCTCTTCTGCTTCCTCCACCGCTCAGTGCAGGGAGCCCCAGCTCTGTGCCCATGGTTTGCTCTGACTGGTTTGAGGAAGGCAGAGGTAAAGCCCTGCTTTCAGCACCCAGAGTCCGAGGAGGAGAGGGAGGCCAGGATAAAAGGGGACACACAGCTGGTCCATGGTGCACGTCTGCCGTCCTGGCACTCTGGGGGAGGTGGAGGCAGAACTGAAAGCGTGAGTCCTGCCTGGGCAAGTCAGTGAGCCCCTGTCACAAAATTTTAAAAAAGGGCGCCGGGAATATATGAATTATCCAGCCCTGCAAATATAAAATAAAATAAAAGAGAAGGGAAGGCAGACCTGGCCAGGAAGGCTCAGACCAAGCTGTCCTGAGCAGCCCTGCCTCCTGCTTCTGGTGGCCTTGGCCCAGGCAGACCAGAGACATTGTCAGAGAAGGCTCTCCCTCCCGGAAAGCTCCCGGATGCCTCCTCCCTGGGTTTTGACAACAGCCCTTGCTGGTCTTGCCTGTCACCCACATGGTCACCCAAGCCAGAAGGCCACTGCACTGTGTCTATGCCAGGACCCTCTTGCTTGAGCCAGGTCGGCGATGACCCCACAATGCACTCTGATTGGCCTCACTAGGCTGCAACCCTCAAAGATGGCGTGGGGCAGACAGGATGAAGCTCCTGGCTGGGAATCCAGCTGGGGAGGATGGTGCAAAGTAGGGAATGGGGACAAGTGGTGCCACTGGCTTTGGTGGCACTAAGAAGCACAGAACCTGGACACAGTGGTCCCAGTACTCTATGAGGCTGATGCAGAAGGATTGCAAGTTTGGGCAACTTAAGTAAGACCTTGTCTCAAAATAAAAAAGAGGACTGGAGAGGGCTGGGTATTTAGCTCAGTGGTGCTTCCTCCTGCCATGCAAGCGCAAGGACCCAAGTTTGAGCCCCGGTACCAAAAAAAAAAAGAGGACTGGGGAAGGGCCTGCCACTGGAGAAAAAAAGAAAAGAGAAAAAGAATTGAGGGAGAAAAGGCACAGTGAAGTCCAGGGACCCAGACAGTGACAAGTTTGGGAAAGCTCATGCAGGCCCCGCCTCTATTTCTGCCCCGGCCTAGTACCCCCCACCTCCCGCACCCACCCTGCACACCCACTCCTGCAGCTCCCCCTACCAGCTGCAGGGTCCGCCTCAGAGAGGACAGTGAAGTCAATGACGCGGGAAGTGAAGTCGAAGGCCGTCTGCTGGCTGTTGTGGACCACGGAGATGCAGTGGCGGTCCCCATAGCTGGCCCGTGGCATGCCACCCTGGAAGATGGTGAAGGGCAACCTGCAGGCACAGGGGTGGGGTGGGCAGGGGCTCCACACAACCTGGACAGCCACGGGCTGGGCTGGCAGCTGGACTTCCTGGAGCACGCAGGGCAGCGGCCAGCCTTTGCGGCACGGCCTGGGGTCTGGGGCTCCTGGCACTGGAAAGGAAGCCAGTCTCAGGGTGACTGGACCTCCACCTCTTCCTGACTGCAGCAACCCAGAAGAACTTGGAGGGAAGTTTCTACACTGGGGTCCTGAGTCTCTACAGATACTTCTGTTTTGACACCAGGCCTCCCTGCACCGTTTGAAGAAATGGGACTGCAGCTAAAAGACTGTGAAACCCACTGACTGGTGGGGCACAAAGGGGTGGAAGGAGATTTTGAGGAATTGAGCTGCTGAGAGTTATGAGAAGCAACTCTGCCCGCCTCTCCCCTCCTGGGTCCTAGACCCCGTGAAAGTATTTACTAAGCACTTTCTCCCCAAATAGGGCTCTGCGAGGTGTCTCTAACCCTCCACAGAAGCTCTGAAAAGCAGAGGGGACAGAGCACCAGTACCTACCCCTGTTTGGTGGTCAGCCAGAAGATTTTGGTAATAGCTTTGCAAGGAAATGGACCTACAAAAACACAAACGTTTGGAATCAGGGACTTAGTTCAGTGGTACAGCCACCTACTTTGCAGGCTCAAGGTCCAGAGTTCAGTCCCCAGTACAAAAACACAAACAAAAGTTAGCTTGAAAGGGTCCCCCCACTTCTAAATGCATGACAGTCCCCGTGGGTACAGCTCCTTCACAACTGGAAAAACTGCTGTGGAGTTTGAGCCCAAGCCCTGGCCCTCTCTGGGCCCAGGTTTGGCTCCTATGAGCTGGGCACCCTGTGCCCACGTCCAGGCAAGACTGAAAGCTCTTCGCTGGTGGGAGGGCAGGCTGGGCCCACTGGGCAGGAGGAGTACTGACCATAAGGCATGGAGCTGCGCAGCGGCTCTGCTTGCTGGGTGTCACTGGACACGGGCCACTGGCAATGGCTGCCATCGGAGTGGCAGGTGACAATCAGGCGGCCATCCCGCTGCCAGCTGACGTTCTCCAGTTGCTTCGGAGCAGGAAGGGCAGGGAAAGGAGCATCAGCTTGGGCGGCATTCCCAGCACTGGCATCCCTTGCATTGCGACAATAGGCTCTATGTGCCCCAAGGGCTTCCTACCTGG